CCGGCAGCTCTTTCTCTCTCGTACTCTTCCCGTCACCTCCTCCACCTCCTCGCCTCCTCTCGCAGCCGCCAACACTCACCACTCCTGCCGCCGCCTCATCCACCTCTTAGTCCTTGCCTCCTCCCACAGCCGTCACAGGTCTAGAGCCTCTGCCTCCTCTCGCAAGGGCCACTATTCCAGAGTGGCTCTTTAGGTAAAATTTTTAATTTTTACTTTTTAATTTTTTAAACTATTTTTTAAAAACTTTTCACTGTTTTTATGTTGTCAATAGTTAATGCTTAATAATGATCTTGTTCAATTCTAGTTTAATTTTGTATGAAAAGAAGACTAAATACTTAATCTTGTTCAATTTAGTTTAATTATAGTTTAGTTAGTTTAATTTAGTTAATTAGTCTAATTTTAATTTATTTTAGTTTAATCTTGTTTGATTTTAGTTCAATTTTACTCACTATTCAATTTTATGGATCTAAAACTGTTATTTATGTTTTTTGCAATTTTATATGAACTTAGTACACATTTTTGTGAATTATCATAATTAAATAAATTTAAAAATAGGCATACGCCTAGCCGCTAGGCCTTGGCTCAAACGCCTAATCCGCCTAGTGCCTTTTGTAACATTGATTAAAACATGTATTATATAATTGAATATACTCCCGAATAAACATATGCTTATATTCAAGAAGTATTCAAGAGGTTTTGGTACAGGTACAGGAACGGGTACAGCTTCCAAATAGAAGTACCCAGGTAACATAGAATTGTAGACCTTTAAATATAGAGGATAATTAGTGTTGGTTTTAATTTATATGATGTGATTATTTTGATGGTCATTTGATGAATGTATATTCGAAAGAAGATTTTAACAGGTTTAGTCTAACTCCAATGTTCCTTCAAGATCCAAAAAATTGGGGTCTTTACAGTAAGTCTAGAAAACTACAGATTAGAGCAAAAGCATCTTAAAAGATATATGAAATTCTTAAAGATGTCCTTCTAAAAGTGAATAACTATATAATAAAAGTTATTAAAGTTTTCCTCAGTGAAGTAATGATTAGAATCAAGAAGCGTTAACACATCAAATATATATGGGAAGTGAAGTTGCGGAAAGCAAAAAAGGAAAAAAAGAAAAGAAAGAAAAACTCATGTACTGGGAAATCATAAAAAAGGTGTACATGAAGGAGCATGATCCTTGTTCATGGCATCTCCTAAATTCCTAATTAGATTTGTATAACGAGGCCAAAAGGAATGCGTGGGTTAGTCTTTGGATGGGGTGGGCGCGTGGGGAAGGGAGGGTTGGGTGGAGGGGGACACAAATAGAGACGTGTGTATTTGAAATACAACTATAATTGACAAAACAACACGCAAATGTTCAGATCATAAGGTATCAAATATGGAAAATTCTACTAGGTCTCGAGACCACGACATTGAAGGCACAACATGAGGCAATAGCTCATGTGAAATAACAAACATTTATTAAAAATTTTAAAATCGAGCAGAAATATTTCCCATAAAGTAAAGTTCGATTAGAGAGAGTATGACTCAGAAGTTACACGATTTTCTATTTAGGAAGCTAAAATTGTTGGGTTATTGTTCACATGCCCCCTCTCACCCCATCCCAGACGGAAAATATGGCTCATTTTCTCATTCACAGAGAAACATTAAACTTTGTTCACTCTGCCTTAATACAAATTAATTTATGGGAAAATGGGAATGTTTCCCATGTCCCAAATTTAACAGTCGAAGGTGGAAATTACTTTCTTGTCCTTTACCATGAATCCCCAATCTCTCTGAGATTCATATAAATCTTATTTTGTGAAGTAGTTATCCATGGAAGATATTTCTTGGCTAGGGTTATAATGGATTGGATAGAAAACCACTATTTTCATGAAAAGAATTTTTCCTCTACCAATTTGCTTACCAATTTGCTTACTGTTGCATATAATTCGGGTGTAGTATAGGGAGTGAAGCCCCTCAAATCAAAGTCTGAAGCTTCATATTCAATGTCCTACTAGTTTTACCTTTTCTTTTTTTAGAAAAATTCAAGCCCATGCAAAACCATAGATCTGGATCTGTTTCAACCATAATGAAGCCCTGAAATCCTGGATTACTGCTATCTTTTTATCCAGATTTGAAATGAAACCTAAAACAACCCTGCTTGATGTTCCCTAATCAGATGTTCTCTTTCAACAAGCCTCTACCTCGAAGAACAGTTTACAACTCAATTTCATTTCAAAAACCCTTTTAAAAACCTAAAACTGGCATATCGACAGAACATACAGAAAAGAGATGATACTTATAACAAACAAGAAAATTCAGAGCCTGACTGGTGCATTCCAAATACTAATGACTAAGAGTAATAAAAGGTTCCAGAGTATGTTCCCCAGGAAAATGAATGTACCCGATACTAGAAAGCAACAAAGTGTTACCCTATAACCTATATCCTAGTGAGCAATGACGTCTTGGCCAATTTCTATTATGGGCCTGCATTGCATACTTGTGAAGAAAAGGAATCATAACCTTAGTAAAATTGTGAAAGTGAAATCATAACTGAAAAAAGCTATTGCTTCTCAAATTAACAAGTTATGACAATTTCTATCTTCTATTCTTTTTCCTCCCATCTTTTATATCTTAAGTTTATTGTTTTATCCTTCCTTCTCCTTTTGCTCTTTGGCTAGGCAGATGCCTATAAGCAAAGTCCTATAACAAACAGAACTCGCTAAAATTTAAGATCTGCATGGTAGTGTTTCCATATTGTGAAGGTACTAGACACTTAAGTAAGACGAGACAATGATCTATTACTTGAGTGACTGAATCCTAAAGATAAACAAAGGCTGTACAGAAAGTAGAAGATTCAGCAGTAGATTAGAAACTAAATAAAATGAAAATCAGATGATTGAAAAAAATCCAGACATACAGTCATACAGATAGCTCTTGTAGATGCATTGAAAGAAAAGAAAGGTACCCGGCGTAAATGAGATCCTAGAAAATAAAATTTGTGGTGGCTGGCCAGTTGGTATTGTAGGCTTCAAGATTGTAATTGGCACCCTGAACAAAGGACCCCGCCATGGAGCTTTGAAATCTATACCATGTACTTCGTGATAGTGCAAGCCACTGCTGAGATGAGTAGGATCCACAACTATGCTGCAGAAAACAAGAATGACTAGTGAATACTAACTATATGCCACCATTGTATTCAGTGTAAAACTGAGCTCAAGGAAATTTTGTGTGCACTTAACCATCATTTAACTAAAGAAACACTCATATGCAGATATAGGAAGTGCAAAGTAAGAAAATAGTACTGATCATTCTTTAAATAAAAGAAAAGAAAAAAAAAGAAACGATAAACTGTGATTTGAATTAATTTGAACAAGCTAAAAATAGGTTCGACTTATACTACTTAATGCAAGATATGGAAATTTAGACATGAAACAATTTCCAGACAAGCTTCATAAAAGTCTATGATGGAGATATTCAGCTCAAAAATACCAGACTAGCCAGTGTCAACTTTGACTGAAATAAATATTTAGTGACATGAATAAAACAGAGGGGGCATGGAAATATGTTTTATCAAGTTACAAAAAGGATTCTCTAGTTTGATTATTCATGCAGAAAAAATTTAGAAGGAGATAGTTGCTGGCAATGAATTTTAAATGTTTATGTAAAGAGGAGGGTGGTATCTAGATTTAATTGATGAGAGCAGATAGAACAGAAATAATGAATACAAAAAAAAATATGCTAACCCAATTCAGAGAAAACGATGATCTAAAAATCATGTGGTCATCTTTGAATAATAAGATGTCTACAAAACCTGGAGAACTCTTAATCATTTCCCATCAGTTTCATTAAATGTTATCAGAAACTATAACACATAATAAAACACTAGCAAAGAGTACTGACTTGAAACTACGCCCGTTGTTAGTTAGCAGGAGGTATTCAGGAGCTTGTGCAACCGATTTTTCACTTGAATGTAATTGTATGCATTCTTCAAATGGAACCAATTGTTCCAAGTTACTTGCACCGTCGTGGAACCCTGGATTAACTTGAATAGTCCACTGTAAGAGAAAAAAAATATATAGAGGAAGGTTGAGCTCTGAAAGAGCAGAAGACTTTATCATGAAGTTGCAACAGCACAAGATATTTGAAGTAAATGCCGACCACTCATAAGAAAGACTGGTAGAACGACCAAACTAGCATAACAAGTTTAGCTAAAAAGCTTAAAAGCATATGAACAAGAAATAGTAAATAATTAATTTTCTTTTCCAAATAAACCTGCATAGTAATGATATTTGACCACTGCATTGAGCCCAGACTAGATGATGATCATGCAAATAAAACCATTTAAAGGGTTTGGTTATATAGAGGGTGTTATATTTAGATAATTTTTTATTTAAAAAAAATTTGTGAATCACAGGTTATTGGTGCATCCATTTATTTTATTACTCCTATATTTAATGATTTGCGAGACATTCCATGAGGAAAGCTTAACAGAATATTTTGTCAGTTGGAATATATTAACATGACAAACTGTCACGAGGCAGAACAAGGTGATCATGCCTAAGTTCATCATTCGTCTGCTCCTTTCCTTTCTAATTATTTTTTCTTCATATAGTCTTCTGTTATCCTTTTTATTTTCAATATCAAATGGCCAATTAGCCTTCGAGGAATTGACATCTGAATCATGCAATTGTGACCATCAACACAGCCCTTGAATAGGATGTTATACTACATAATTAGTGTTGTCGATATGCGACTTTCCAGATTTCAACAAATTTATCATTTTCCCGGCATTGAGATTATAATTTATTAAGTCTAAAGACAATCAAGCTTCATTTGATGACTTATTTTAACCTTTTGAAATCTCAGTTGGTGACTGATAGAGGTACATATGGCTCGGGTACTGCTCAAATATGACGCTTATCATGTCCATATTCGCTTTCCAATCACGGATACAGATACGAAAACGGATATGCTTTGATAAGGAAAAGTCATACTCATATCTGCTAAAATCGAATACATATACGGATATACATGCAGATACAAAACGGATATGAGAAAATTAGATAATATTGAAAAATATATATATAGTTCATATGGTACAAGAGAGTTCATTACTATGTTCGTTATACCTGATAAAACGAAGATAAAGATCTCTTGATCATCAAAATTAACCCCAAATCAATTAATCTAAGGATTAAAACTATTACTATTGTATGACTAACATGGGATATTTCAAATATGGATCTGGATATTTCACTACATATCTGTATCCATAACCATATCATATCGGATATAGATTTTAGTAACTATATATGCATCCTAACGGATACAGCAACAGGTATTTACTCTGATATAGATATTTTTGTGTACCCCTAGAACAGTGAAAAACAAAATAGATAAACGGGTAGAGCATAATAGACTAGTAGGATCAAAAATATTGCGCAACATAAACTACTATAAGATTGTCTGGTAATGGAATACATCATATCATTAGCGATAGAGAGTCATTATACAATTTGAGATATAAAATAAGAACTCAATACACCATAGTAATAAGGGCCACTCAACAATTGTTACCTCGGTGTTCTGTTGACAAGCACTGGCTCCTCTTAGATAGATTCCTCTTAGTGTTGGAGCTGCACAAGTGTGATGCCATTAGCAAGGATAATTACATGTCACTTGGTCAAAAAACTATAAGTAGTCACTACATTCTTTAGTGTGAAACTAGATCATCTATCGGAAGACCAAGCAAAAAGGTAATGCAGCTCATGACAACTAAATTTTGAAATATTATGATACGGCTGGGATCAATTTATAAAGTGTGTTGTATTTAGTGCGGGAAAAGCTAGTCTGGACTCTGGATGATAATTATATGTGATATACAGTATGAATATGACAGTAAAACAACTGCCTATATAATAATCTGGGTGCTATGATAATATATCCTCGTCTCTGTACTTTAAAGAATTATTCTTAGGATATCATAATTTGGGTTCTATAAGAATAATTCTCTTGATAGTCATGATCAGGGTCTCACCCAAAAAGGGACAGAAACTGTAAATATATAGGTGATGCCATTTCATTTCATCCATACCCCCGATATTTCACACCCCGGTTTTGAAGTAAATTAATTCGCAATCTAAATTCTGAAATGGATGACCAATATAGAAGGCAGACAATCTTCGACCATGGTCTCAGCGTCTTCAAAATTGAACATTTTGTTGCAAAGAGTAGGAAGTGGTAGCGCAAGGTAATTTTTTCGCTTAATCGCCAACAGAACTGAAAATAATTGTGACCTTGATATCATGGGTTTTACTCGAGGAAACACGATGGGGGGCAAAGCTTCTTGCGTTAGACCCTACCAAATCTCTAATGATGGGAGACTTGTGCTTTGTTGATAAGAAGGGCAGAAGAAACAGGACAGGTGTACTTTTGGCGTGGAAAAAAGAATTACCATTAGTTTTTTTCCGCCAACTAAATGATTTAAGTTAAATTTGGTTATGGAACAAAATATTAGGCTTACCATGCTGGAGAAAAACTATTGAGTTACAACAAACATTTCCGATATTTACAGTTATTCTATTTATCTGTTCCTTTAACTATTTCCTATCTCAAGTTTGTATAGAGGCTAGGTAACACGAACACTTCGTTTTGGGTGCCATATCCATGTCTGACATAGACTCTCAACGGACACTCCATGGACACTAGTGGTTCAAAGAAAAACCCGATTTCCCCATTACTTATACCCTAAACTAGTTTCTCTAGTAATATCAGGTTCAAACCAATTGGTTTTTAACCTGAAAACTGAAACTCATTACTTAAATATTTGAAAAACACCCATCGTATTATCCCATGAGGTCAAAACTAAACTTTTTCTTGTTAAATCTCATTCTTAGTTTGATTTAACTTGATTCTTAATTGTTATGTAGATAATAGAAAGATTGAAAGAAACATACAAATGTTATTGGTATTTTCGTTCAATATTTGATCATGTGTGTATTTTATACCGTGTCCCCATATACTACATTTTACTAATTTGTCGTGTCCCGTGTCCATATCCGTGTCCGTGTTCGTGCTACCTAGTATAGAGGATATAGTCAACCATTTTAACAGCTTATTGGAAATTACAGATGGTTCATATGATCCAAAATGAGGAGAGGAATTAAAAATTGAGACAGATAATGGAAGGAATTTATAATAAACATTAGTAAAAATTCAGACCAATCAAAAAGAGTTCACGAAGTGCACCTTTTGTAGTGCATTGCATACCATCTTTATCCACAGGCATGATGAACATAACCAAACAACTAGGATCTTCTAGAACCAATTAATAAAAACAACACACTAAGCTGGATGTTATTCTCTCTCGCTGGCCTCAAGTTCAGGAGGATTGGTCAGCAGAATTGTGGAATACATAATCTTAATTCATTCCAAGGTTCAATGAATACTTTTCCGGATATTTATGATTTTTTGCTCAAACAATCAGGCAGGACAAGAGACCCTTCTTAGAGAGGAAATGTATCATTATTATTATGCTGATTCAGATGCCAAGGAAAAACAAGAAACTTAAAAAATAAAATAAATGAATTAACAACCTAAGGATGGTATGGGAATCACCTATTTTCTGCATCTCCAAATAATGTATAAAAAAATTGCTTTATGAAGATTACTTTAGAATTCATGTCAGAGAGATCCAACTAAGTCACGCAAATAGTTAAAAGGAGCAGTGAGTATTGCAGATGGGTCGAAACGAACATGGATAGAAACAATTAAAAGGATATAATAATCATTAATTTAACAAACGAGATGGGAACCAAACATAGCTGAATGAAAGAATTTCATGTATCAACCCAAAATTTCGGGATACTTTCTTCCAGTTGCTGGTTTGCTACAGTATCTGAAGATATTTATACCAAGGATATATCTTTTATCCATGTGTGTTTGGCAATTCTAAAATTGGATTGGATTTGAACTAGTTCTAGCTTAACTAGGCTAGAGTTGGTCCATATAGGAGGTGGTTCAAGAGAGAACTAGTTTAGACGCTAAAATTTGAACTAAAGAAAACTAGCTTTAATTTTGGCCCAATTTTTGCCAAACAAAAAACTAGCTTTTGGACCATAATTGTACCAACTAAAACTAGTTTTGTGGCAAATTGCCAAACACACCCTAAGTTGCAGAAGTCATGCAGATGTCTAAGTGCATTTCCACTTCATGAACCTATTTCCGGAAAAGGGCGTGGTAGGAAAGGTCGTCTTTGGAAATGCTAAAACAGTCAAGCTAAACCAATTACGACTGGATCAGAAGATGAAACTTCATCATAGTAATAATCGAACTGAACCTGTGTAAATATGATGGCCTTAGCCCCATCTCAGTTGAAAATAAAGAGGGCTTTAATTATTGAAATGCATCCTTCAGTCGATAATACTCAATCTAGACTGTCATAACATTTACATGCATTTTGTTTAAGTTGTTGTTGACGAGAATCTGACGTTCCAACACACTAGCAGATTTTCTTGCAAACACAAGTCACAGCAACGAAAGGAGAAATTTTAGAGAGATGATAAATCAAAAGAAGATAATCTATAGATCTAGCAACACTTGCACAAATTTTACAACAGAAGCAGATGACTTCGTTCCACATAGCAGCTCTTTCTGCAAATTCTATGAAAATTTTGAATTATGTTTTGCTTCCCCTTTACGAGTCCAACCACTACGTACCCAACCTCCCACCCCCCAACCCAAAACACACACAGACATACACAAAGGGAAACGAACAATAAGAATTATAATTACTGTTATTGTTATGATAACAAGAGGGGTGCTTATATGAAGTTATTAACTATATCCACGAACAACAACAATTTTTTGTCTTCTAAACAGCAGCAAAAGGTGCAGTCTGTAACTTACTTGTTTTTCCAGTTTGATTTATAGAAATTTTATAGCAAACACATGGAAGATCCCTAGACTTCTGAACAAATTGATGTGCCCTGTCCTTGCAACAATAACAGAATACTTAGTTTAAGAAATAATGGAGTTATTTCTTGAATAGGAATTTGTTAAATGAAACAACCTGTCAACTTGCATAAGCCCCTGCCCTGTTGTCAATTTATCCTCAGGCACACTACCTATGGGAAGTGCTGTATTCTCCAACGCCTTCCGTACAATATAGGGACTTACTGGAATACCTTCAGCCTGTTATATAGTATGTGAACGACAATATGAATTATTTTTCTTATTAATAAATGAGCCAGAATGACAATTGAAAGGATATGATATCAACCTTCATTCCACTAACAAGTAACGCAACTCCACCACAAGCTGATGGAGATGACATGGAAGTTCCATTCATGAGCATGCGTCGCTGTAAAGTCCACGCGGGTACAGGAGCCACAGCTCCACCAGGAGCACTTATACACACACCTAGATCACCATCAACTGTTGGACCCCGGCTAGACCTGTAATATCCCAAAGCATAAGCTATACTGCAATATCTTCTCATTCCAACACCAGTTCATGCCCAATCATACATACATTTGTATTATATCAGATATCATTGCTCACAAAAAAAATATAGTATATATGAGTTGAAAAACGAGAGGTGGACAGGTCGGAACTTTCAAACCCAAAAATCATATCTAATATTTTGATATTAAACAATTAAATAGGCATAAGACATATCTTCCTTTAGATTGTTAAACTAATGCAGACTCCGACAAAGACTGCAGAAGTGAGGAAGATGTTAAAATATCATCCATATCTTGACAGTTTACATGTAGGAATACAACAACCACTGCTTACTTCATAAAAGCAGGCAGTCATCCATGAACTTTAACAGATTAAAATTAGTATCATATGGTATGAGATCCCACATAAATTACCAAGGTAAAATTATTTAAAACAAGAAGGTCGTAATCTCAAAATGCACTTTAAAACAAAAGAAATAGTTGCATGACAATTTCTATAATTTGATTAGAAACTTCAAGACAAAGAAAAACTGGAACGAATGCATTTGCTTGACAATGCCAAGTAAATAGGCAAAAACATCAGTAATGGAATCCATGGAAGAACTCAGAGATTGAGGTCAAGCAACAAATCAAGGAAAAAAATCAGCCAAACACAAACTAGAATTGGTTATGGCAAGGATTGCAAACTTGGAGTATTCGAATTGAGGCAATGCAGAGAAAAATTTCATGAGATAAAGAGCCATTAGGCAAAAAAAAGGATAAAAATAAAGAGAAAACAGTCAAATGCACAATGTATAAAAATAAAATGTTAAGAAACGAAGTATACGATAGGGCCACAGCAAAAAACACTCTACTAAAACTAGAGTTGTCTTATGTCAAATAATTGATAAGAATCTTTTAGCGAGCTCTTTTACAATCTGAATATATTGGACCAGTAATTATGAAACAGTTTCATGCTGATTAATGCTTAAAACACAATTATCTCAACAGTACTTCTGCCCAAAAGACGTTCATAACAATTGAAGCTAGGGAATACTACAAGAAACAAGCATGTAATGTATGAAAGTAACATGCTTTCTTTTGGATAATTTATTACACGGGATTAAACATCATAGATTTCAAACGGCAACAAACTTGTAAATAGTCTAGAGAATTACCAAGTATATTCCATTCCTTCATTCGGAGGCTCCACCACACAATGAGCTCCTGCAGCCATAGCAGGGGAAACATATGCACCAATTCCTATAATGCTCGAAGTAGTTCCACCAGGGGAACCCACCGTACTTAACCCCGGTCCCTCATTTCCAGCACTGCTAATGAATATGACACGATGCTTGTCTACAGCCTGCATTTATAGTTTATAGTCTGAGATATAGTTCAGAAAAAATTAAAAGAAACAACCATGGAATGATCAATATGAACTCAGAGTAGAATAAGTAATTGATACTTCATTGACTAGATCAACAAATCTCCCATAATCAGGCAACAGTGTGGGCTCCCCATAACTCATGTTGATGAGGTCACATTTGTGCTGCAAATACAGATAAGCAAATTCAATTTTGTGCAAAAATAGAAGATAAGACATTTCTTACCCACTAGATGCCTCTGGGACACTTATACAATAGGGAACCATATATCTTTGATTCTTCTGTTAGTACATGAAATATGAGAGAGAACATTTTTGCAAAACAACAATTGACATCAAGTACAAAGTAGCCCCAGCATATGCACAATTATCAACAAAAGCCAATAAAGACAGGCATAAAGCATGACAGGTGTATCTTATTACTGATTGCATCTATGTTCACGGATACTAAAGGCAAAATTGCTGAGATTCTTGAAGCAATTGCCTAGATTCTTGAAGCAATAACAGGAGAAACCTTTGAAATACTGTAGAAAAGTCAATACCTCACTGGACATGTTAATTTACGAGTACAAAAAACCTTAAGAATATCCACCAAACCAAGGGCATCTTGGAATTAAGAACTTTTAACTTTTAAGAAAGTATTCATTAACACTAGCAACCCAAGTTAGTAATACACTTTCCATTTTTCGTATTATATCATCATCAACAAGAGAGGTTTAAAATAGAGGTCAAATTAAGGCATAAAAGGAGGGAGATGTTTATTAGAGGTTTAAAATACTTAAAAAGCACTCAAATTCAACAAAAATATATGAATCCAAATCTTCTCAGCGGTCCATCAAAGGAACAAATATCTGCACTTCCAAAGATGCTATGAAATCCTATTAACCAAATCCCCCTGTTTGTTAGCAAGGACGTGTACGTGCAGATATCATCGCAAATAAGACCTTGCTCATTGTCTGAGAGTGTGGAAATGGCTAGAAAATATTTAATTGTGCAATGAATTCAACCTTCTGTTAGTTATATCTTGATTACTCTCCTGTTAACAATTGGAAATTTTGGTCCTTTTCTTAGTTTGAAGTTTTGTTGGCTGTTGATGATGATTCTGGAAACATCCTTTGTTTTCTTTGTGATTCTTTTGAGAAAAATATATATAATTTCAGGAAACTTCCATGGAAATGAGTGAGATAGAGAATATTGAGTAAGCGTTGATGGCCATTTTTATGAGCATATGATTCACTTGAGTTGCCAATGGAGGAAGATTAGAACTCATACTGTAAATATCTTTGGCAACAGCATGCTCAATGCATGCATATAGCAAACAAAAATCAGCTACTTCACAATGATTTATTAAAACAACATTACACCGTATCCAACTAATTTTCTCATAGAATTATTATAAAGAATGATAATTGGATAGCAACCTCAGCAATTTCTGGCTTACAGTCCCACTCGTCCTCCTAAAGGTCGGTAAAATCCAGAGCAACTTAATTCTACTTTTCTATGACATGCTAAATTAGAAGTTTGTAACGTTAGTTTTTTGTCTTTTCTACCATAATATGTGAAAATTATTCATAACAATTAACACATATGATCAGGAGGTCACACCCATTAAAAGCAATCCCTATGCATTTTAAAGCTTTCAGAGTCTAAGGAAATGAGTTTACCAATAATTAAAAGCTAAACAAAATCCTTGTTACTAAATATACTCTTTAGATCTTAGGGACAGAATAAATCCTATGCTTAATCACAAATACAGTCCAAGCTTTCATATGACTCGCTTATTCAATCATTTCAATCACGCTCAATGCTAAAGGGTCCTTTATTCATTATTTCAGATAAAAGTTACTATGACATACTAGATCAACCCACACATAAAGCTGAAATATAGATTAGCTCACAATATACAGGTCGCTATTTTAGGATTAATTCAATTTTCAATTGGCACATATTTATCTCAAACTCAAATGCACTAGCCCTGGAAGTATAAGCTAAAGCTTTTTAGATGAATAAATACAACTGAACTCTAATACAAGAAATAAAATGTAGTATTTCCCAACTTAAAATAATTTAATTAGCAAATGTAGTATTTCTCAATATACAGGTCGCTATTTTAGGATTAATTCAATTTTCAATTGGGACATATTTATCTCAAACTCAAATGCACTAGTCATGGAAGTCTAAGCTAAAGCTTTTTAGATGAATAAATACAATTGAACTCCTATACGAGAAATGAAAGGTAGTATTTCCCAACTTAAAATAATATAATTAACAAATGTAAGTAAGAATCCTCCTAGACCCACCCCAAAAGGATGGCAGTAAAAACATTATAAACTAAGAATATATGAACCAGCATTTACTTGTAGATAATCTTCAAATGTGGAGGAGCGGGAACTTAATTTCTAAGCAAAAACAGAAACCAACAAATTCGTAATAACTGAATATTGTCCTTTGACATATAATGTGAATAAAGGGTGCAAGAGAATCTGTATCTAAATGAAGATATAATTTAAACAGGATGCTTATTTGACAACCTGAAAAAGAGAACAATACTAAATGGAGCCTTAAAAACAAAACATATGCTAGGACAAGAATGAAATTACCTCAATGGCAGCTATTAAAGCTCTAGTCAAACCAACTCCAGTTTCCATTGAACCTAAGTGTGTATCTCCAATCTTACAAGAGATCAATTGGGCTCCAGGTGCAACTCCATTTAGCAAGGGCTCCTGAAGTGTAATTTTGCGGTCAAAGAATAAAATGAAGCAGCAGTTTAAATGCACAAAGAATATAGATGCATAAACTCAGATACCTCAGGATGGAAAGCAGTAGCGATGCCTGCAACATGAGTGCCATGTGGAGAGCAATCTGTTACTAAACTTACAAGATTTCCTTCATCATAAACATTTGTAATGAAAGAGCAAGCATCCAATTTGCTAAAAATGCCAAATTTTCGTTCAGTCCTACATAATACGCGTGAACAGATACCTCCAGTTAAGCAGATATAAGCAGACTATTCAATAACGTAGGAAACTTTCTTGATAGATATCTTACCAATTTATTAAAACTATACATAAATTGTGGAAACGGAAGGAAAACTAAAGACATTATTAAAGATTATGACTACCTAGACTCTGGTACCCAAAAAAACTAATAACTCAAGCCACTAAACCCAGACCAAGGAACCAGAATAAGTAGCAGTTAAAATAGTGAGATACTTCAAATGCGAAGAGATATACTTCCAAATGGCATTACCAGAAAACAATCAATATTTTATTCAAGAAAGCAATCAACATCTAATACTAAAAGAAACCAAAGAAAATTTTAACTGTAAATAGAAAACAAAGTTAATCTTTTAAGGGTAGATTACATAAAATCCCCCAAGGTTTGCATGATTGACACAAATCCCCGAAAGTGAAACTTTACCCTGCTCTCTTCTAATTTCTACATAATTAACTTGAAACGCATGACAATATGCTCTCTCATATAAACAAATGTATGATTATTATATCATGCCAAATAGGTAACTATATCTAGTTTTTATCTGCTTAAGAATTGTATAAACATAACTGTTATTAGGGGTCTTTACTGTTCGCTTTCTTAATCATCAGGGACAACGCCTTTCCATGGATAGTACCTCTTATTAGAACCGTTTTACAGGTAAATACTCTCGATTTCTTATTTGTACAAAGTTTTCTAGAGAGATACTTAAGCACGAAATATAAATTGCTATGGGCAACTATTTTGAGTTCAGTTTCACAAAAAGGACAAATGAAGATAACATATGTTCATATTTGAACATCGGACACTAGATATGAAGGTGTCAAAGCAGGAATCTAAAGTAACTTCCAGTCACACACAATGCTGGGGGACAAAAAACCAACTGAATAATCAATCTGTGATATAACACAATAACACAAACAAACAAACAAACAAAAAAGCTGGGTGTGTGTAGGTGGGTTTTGTGTGTAGGCGGAGGTTGTGGCTTATTTAGCAAAAAGGAGATACCAAGAGATGGAAGTGGGGGCCTCATCACATGGGTATCTCTCGGTAGCTCATTTAACAAAATGAGCCTCCACCTCACACACATATAAACATGCACTCATGCACGGACGCATGCAAGCACAGAGATATATAAACACACGGTGATTTCCAAAGACTATGCCACTAAAAACAAGAAAATATGGGCTTGTTTTCACCCACTTAATGTGAGAAGCATGAGAAACAGGGTCCTTAGAGTGGGTTGAAAGGATCTGAGGATGGTATATAAGAAGCTAGAGGTAGCTTGCTACGTTAATATTTGTGCCAAGAAAAACAAGCAATAAGAGACTTCTAGGAGTAAAAGAATTTTAGTTCAGTATATAAGAAAAACCTGACTTGAGGATGAGACTAGAATTTCCATGAGGGTTAGGAATTTTCTAGCTGCAATCAGGTTTAGTCACTGTTACGATGGCAACCAACAGAGGAAGATAGAGATCAAGAATTGCTCTTGGTGGGGAGGTGCAAAGCAATAGTAGAGGAAAATTCAGAAAGGTAAAAGTGACAAATGATGTATTTATTACTTTCCAGATAAAAAATTTCTGTTAAAAGTAAAACACTTTAAATGAGTTCAAGAGGGAAGCTTTAAACAGTTCAAATAGTTAAACGTCTGATACAAGCTGAACTTAACCTCCTTTGACATTCAAGATTGCAGAACAAATTAGGATTATTGAACATTGAAAAAAAAGGATAAAGAAAAACAACACACGCTCTTAATCAATTGTTAAAGCAAAGGCAAATCAGCGGTGGATGGTACAAATCATGATTTCCCAATCATCAAATGCAATCAAACAAACAATAGTCAAAAGGAAGCAAAACAAAACAAAACAAAAAGAAGAAAACAAAACAAACAAAGCAGAACTCTTCCAATCATTTCTCCTCATTCCAAGGCATATCATCAGTGGATGATACAAACATATTTCCCAATCATCAAATACAATCAAACTAACAACAGTCAACATATACTCAAGCAGTGCTATATGGTTAATAAAGTTCGAAAGTTTTGGTTTGTCGCTGATAAAAAAAGAACATTAATACAGGAAGAATAGTTGATGAGGCAGGTTTCTTGAACCAGAATCGGACCTGTAGTTAGTTAAAGGAACAAAATCAGCCAGTTTCCCATGCTCTGAATCATCCTCGAAACTTTGTGTGTCAACAGCAACTCTCCACACATCACCATCGTTCCACACGACGAGATCGATAATAGGTCCCCTATCATCATAACTCTAGAATAGAGGGAATAATTAGTTTCAACTTAAGATACAGAACATTTGGAAGAATAAGGAAATAATCAAACAAACTTACTTCAGCTTGTTTTTTAAGGAAATCAAGTCTACTTTGGAGGTCTTCACGAACCCTTTTTAACTTTGAGTCTTCTGTTTTGGCATATTTCTGCATCAGGAATTAGAAACTACATTTGTTAGGAACTGCAGTTGAGAAGCAACCTTATATATGTGCTTGTGATATCAGCAAGGCAAACTTATATATAGATCTTCAACTAGAACTTCAAAAATGGTAAAATACAGATAAGGTTCTTGAACTGAAGTTAAATGAAAACCAGAGTAACAATGCTCATGTTTCTTGATTGTTGACTTCAGAAGCATAAAAATAACCGAGAGAAATATAATAGCATCCACTGACTTCTGCAAACCTTGTCAAACTCATTAAGGTTCTTCAGAGCTTCCACAATTGCTTCCTGATTTTTCTCATCCCACTTTTTCTTCCTTTCCTTCTGCATAATATTTAATTAAACCTACAGTTAGCATTAATACAATAATGCATGCCTGCCTCAAAAAAGAAAAGGTCGATATTAAACCTGAAAAAACTACCTGTATACGGGATGTCAGTGTGTCAGTAAAGAGTTCATACACTAGTTTATAGCCAACATGCCACTCCTGAGAAGGATTTTTCCATGACTGATTTACCAACAATTTTGCCCCTGAACGTAAATAGATGAGTACAAGCCAACAGAGTACAGTATGGGATAAAATGGCATATACAAAGTTGACATGAAAATGACAAGTTCAAGATCGTATGAGTTCCGATAATCAATGCAGACCAGACCAGTTGTCAGGAAGGAATGGAAAGTGTTTTAACTGTTTATAAGCAGTGAGAATTATACTAACATAGATAATCTGACTGATCCAGCGAGAATTGTAGCATTGTATATGTCGTTTAAGCAAAATGGGTCTCTTCTTTCTCATCTTAAAACCTAATAAATAGAAACTCTATGAAAAAATAATATTACAAGACTGCAGTCGACAGAGCTGTTAGCAGAAGATAATATCCAAAGGAACTCCAAATTTGACTCCAAACTTTCCAAGCTTTAAGCAGTGCTATCAAGGTGTGAGGCGCAATGCAGGGGCACAAAGTCCCCATACATGCACATGCACAAGGCACAATGCTATGAGCATGTCCGAGTGAAACGAGGCACATACCGAACGTATAGTTTTTCAAGATAAATAATCGCACAAAAAAAACATGTTTATGAATTTTCACATGAAAAAATATGCAAGATAAAAAATATTCATTACCAAATCACAAAATAAGGTCTTAATTCATAATGCTAACAGCCAATATAGTAGCAAAGTTTAAAATTTTCCAAATCAAAAGGTGACTCAAGACAACAAGCGAAGCAAAATCAAATAGTAAACGAGAACCAGTTAAGGGTCCTAAACCAGACTACTAAAAAGACTTAATGAGTTTATATTTCCTTTTGCGATATAGATTATCAGATATAAACGCTTGATTGAAATCTTAAAGGACAAAAATAGTGAGGCTATGCTTTGTATGCGCTTGTGAGATTCAAAATGACGTTGCCTCGCGATGCGGGGGCGCTTCACGACCGCCCCCGCATCAAAAGTAGATAAGGCGCAATAAAGCGTGCACCTTTAATAAGGCTGGCTTTAAGTCTCATACTTACTGACAACTTTTTCAATAAGAAAGATAAATCACAAAAACAAATGGACACTGAACTTGTATGTATGAACAACAGGGAAAACTCCATATGTAAAACATCATTTATATGCAAATCTGTATCATATGCACAAATGCATATTTGATTATATTTTATATTAAATACAAACATATTAAATACAATACCTATTAAATACATAGATATCAACTACAATCATCATTATATTGCTCCAAGTTCCATCTAAATTTCAAGCAGAAACCCTTTAGAAAAAAGAGGGGGGGAACCATATAAACATGGGGAAAAAACTATGTAAAGTGGTCCAACTGCATAACACTAGTGCTTGCATTGCTTTTGATCGCTTGTAAACCTCTTTCGCTGCTTTTGGCCGCTTTGGGCTGCTTTGGACTGTTCTTAGGTAGCTTTGGGCTGCTTTCATCTCGAAAGCTCTTTGTGGCCACTATTGGGCCTTAGCGGAGTGGCAAGGTACCGCTTCTGCTTTTTTAAGGGTTTTTTCTACTTTTTACAACATTGCTCATCAAATTCCATAACTCCCATGAACCGTTACAATTCTCATTTCACAACACATTTCCCCTATTATATAACAATCATGTCCTTCATTTCCTCCAATCCCATCAGAAGATTTAAAGGATTAATCGGAACCAAGTTTCACTACTGAGTTTACAAGTCGTAATCATAGACAAGAAGAGAAAGGAACTCAGGCTCAGTTGTGCTTTAGGGTGTGCTTGGCATTACACTCAAATTTGGATCATGTTCACAGTTCACTCCTGGCCTGGTTCTATTCTAAACTGATTCTAGTCTAGATTAAGTGAGGGCTGGTTCAAAATAGAACCACTATTTATGCAATTTGGCCTACAAAAACTGGGTCAATCATGGCCCAGTTTTTTGCCAAACACAAAAACATCGAAAATTGAGTCATGTTTAATCCTGACCTAGTTTTAATGGATTGTCAAACACACACCAATATTTGTTATTTGAATATCTTTACCTTTTTCTGTCTGCTTCTCTCATATTTGGTTCTTCTTTATACAAGTTTCCCTTTTGTCATTCTTAGCCGGAAATTTCAACGAACACTGCATCCTGGGCGTCAATAATCTCCCAAGAATCCTTATAATGTACTATGCAAACATAATGTCTTTACTCACAGTCACAACCTACTTCCAAACTCTCCTCCGCAACTCTCATGAATTCAACCAAATCATTATCAATGATCTGTTTCATCCACTATATAAAATGGGATACACCTCTAAAGAAAGAACCCAAAATTGATTCTCCTCGACTTTGACAATGTGAGGCAACGTGGTGCAGCTTTTGGTACTAGATTCTCCAATGGCGTTAATGTTGGTCCTCAATCATATTGATCGAGAGATTTTAAATATGTGGTCCCAGCAAAATGAGTGCAAGTGATTGGTGTTTGAGTGGAGATAATGAAGATAGATGCAAAGCTTGGGAAGCTAATGATGTTTTAAAGCCTAGTCACGGAGCTACTACACTTGCAAAGGCCGTTCAAAATTTCAAATGATTGTTGATGATACTCATCAATCAATTTGATAGATATGGGAGGAATCAAGATAGTATAAAGACAAAACTGGTATGAGATGATAAAATTTTGTTAGTTTGTACATACGTTTGATTCTCAGACTGAAAACTGTAATCTAACTGAACTTGGCGATGTAATATGAATGATAACTTTCTGATTTCTTGATGAATATAGCCCAAATCTGATAGTCCTAAAAGTTATTATGCTTGTTTCTGCAAAGAAGAATTATTCTATGAAAGCATCAAATGGTCCCCGGTCAACAGCATTCAATGTGCACCAAAATGATGTCATCCTTGGATTATTGGACTTAGGGAATCATGCACCGATCTAATGATTGACATCACTTTAGACACGTTTAATACTATGGACCAGATCCACTTGATACTTTCTCATTGTTTTAGAAGTGTGCAATTTTGTTGATTTTTTATGTGGAAAAAAATTTGCATTTGCTTATGGGTATAATATCAATGCAGATCAATTATAATTACTTACATGGGAAATGGAAGGGGTAGAGAAATCTAGAGGAATTCCAATAGGTTTTCAGAGGACGCTTAGGTTGGAGTTTGGTGTTGGAAAAAGAGTAATTATTTATTACTGATTAGTAATTTAAAGTAAATTTATTAGTCTTACCACTATATTGTAATTAATTTTTTTTATGTGAATAATGTTTAGCATTCCCTTGTGGATTTAATGCCAACTCAGATCAATCATAATTAATTACATGGAAAGTGGAAGAGGTAGAGAGGGAGGTTGGTGCTGGAAAAAGAGTAATTATTTATTATGGATTAGTAATTTAAAGTAAATTTAATAGTCATACCTCCAACATATAATTATCTAGAAGGTAAAGGGTTAGTACCCAATCACACCTATGAATAGTACTTGATTACTAACATGGACGATGACTATAGTAAGGTGGACTATAATTTTAAGTGACTATGTCACCTATAAGCTGCATGCTCATAAACTCATCTTATGTGTTATATAGCTTCGAGTCATTTTGTCATCCTCTACAGATATTGTTTCTTCCATCCATAACCAGTCCATCAATTACTGTAATGAAAATATTCAAGAAAGAGAGTTAACAATGTTGTATTTTTTTCATGATTAGAGCTGATTACAAGATTCCAAATTCTTTCCCTGCCATGATTTATATATAATGTTTTCATTAGATTTTTTTGAATTATGGTGGAAATAAAAGTGATGCTATGTTTTTAGTGTTTTCCAGGTTTCTTGCATCTTATTTCTACCTGTGGCAATAAAAAAACTCGCACTCCAATGAATTTCTAATTAATGAAAGTATGATAACAATGTTGGCTATATTTAACTTTAAGTGGGTCCGTGGGGATCACATACACACACACACACATAGGAGGTGCTATTTGGTTGTTCCTATGCTGTGTGATAAAAGAAAGTGCAACACAGGAGTGGTTCTTTTTGACCATTGAAATAAGCTAGAGCTGAAGGAAAGGTCCATAGAAGTTGTGTATGTCAATATTTTCTAGAAAACAACCACACATTAGGATACATAAAATTTTGTTCATTTCTCTATGCACATTAGCTCATCGTATATAATAATTACAATGCTAAAAATAGACAAACAAACCTGATCCGCCAATAATATAACCGTCAGCATCGGCCTTCACTACTTTGGAGGTGTCAATATCACCACTTCCTGTGCTGTAAAAAATTATTTAAAAAAAGGCAATGCTTAAGAGAGGCTTAAATATACCACCTAATTGTTATGTTTTATTGAATAATAACCAAAGAGATTGTAAGTTCCAAAATTTACCAATCTAGTATGTCTATGATTTTGGGTTTGCCATCTGAAGTCACCTGTAGACCAGCAGCAGCTGGATCCACGCCAGAATCTGCAGCGAAGCAAGCAAGTTCTAATTTTTAAGAAGAAACAGTATTGTCTGTGCAAAATTTGGCGCACCATTTGCTGCATAATGCTTTTAAATATTCAAATTCCATTAAATCCATCAAAACGCACTCTGATAAAAACTTTAAATGGACAGATACTGAATCCTTGGACAGAGCTTTTTTCATCACAAAAAGAGATCTATGCAATGTTGAAAAGTGAAAACCTTGAAATCACTAATAGATTATAACAATGATCTAACAGCGCGAGGACTCATACTCGATGTATGGTCATCCTAACCACCTCCCGAAAAAATTAATGCGATCATTTCTAACTCTTCATCATAAGACGGAATCTACTGATCAATTTAGCTAAACTTATAAAAATCAAACCTTGCACTACGACCTCAAGTATCATAAGCTCAAAAAGTCAAACATCTTATAAACACAGCTAAATTAGTCAAAACCCTAAAAAATGCAAAAGTTTACCAAAAATAGCAATAAGGACGCCTCTGCCGTCATACTCAGGATGAGATTCAAGAAACTTATCGGCATTGATTTCCTTCTTCGGCATCAAAGAAGCTAAGAAACTCTTCTCGTTCAATCGACCCGAGCGTAGAGCTTCGTCGATCTTCGGCGTCTCTTCGGAGAGAGGAGCAGATGTGTGAGGAGAAGATGAAGGCATCGAAACCCTAGCGATCACGGCGATGTTGCCCTCAGCTGCTGATGCTCTTTTATTTCTAAAAGTGCCGATTCGAGAAAATGACAGAGGAGAGAGAGAGAGAAAATTGGGTAATGATGATAGCAGGCCGCAATGCACACCGATGGCGTTATGCATTGGAACTGTCCCATGCTTTTTTTTTTAAGGGAAAATCTTCTTTTAATCCAAAGTTTTACTCTAATTTATTTTTATACTCACCTTCTTTCATTATGATCCATACACCCAAAATACAACACCCACTTATTTAAAAACCCAAAGTATCAAATACACCATATTTATATACTGTATACAAAAAATAAAAGATAAATTCGAAATTACACTGTTCTTCTTATTCCTCCTACCTAATAACTACTCATGGCTCAACTCACTCTTTCTAATTAGGGGCTGTTTGGTTCGTTTCTTTGATATAGAGAAATGCAATTACATGTAAAGAAACACAAGTTTTGAGTTTTCTAAACTTTTCTAAAAAATAGATTGTTTTGCTTTGGTTCGCACATAAAAAATGGTGGGAAACCAATGCATTTATTTTTCTTATGTTTGGTTCGCATAGAAAAAAAAGGAAAACTTTTGTAAACAAAGTAGAGAATGGAAAAAAATCTGACGTGGCAGAGTTTTCATCAATTTTACTTGGTTGGGGAAGGAAATCGGAGAGGAAAAAAAATCTTGGTTGGCGGCAATTTCAGCAGAGTTTTCCCTCTTCCATTTGAGCGAACCAAAGCGGCACAAAGAAATGGACGGAAACAAAAATTTCAGCAGAGTTTTCCCTCTTCCATTTGAGCGAACCAAAGCGGCACAAAGAAATGGACGGAAACAAAAAAGCTGACGTGGAGGGCTAAAAATCTGACGTGGAGGGGTTTTCTGAGTTTTCCACCCCTTATAATAGCGAACCAAACAGCCCCTTATCTCCATCCTAATAACTGTTCTTCTTCTTCCTCCTCCCTAAATTCGAAATTACATTGTTCTTCTTCTTCCTCCTCCCTAATACACCATATTTTTCTGGTTCTCCTCCCACTCAAAAAAACCCCTAAAAATTCAAGGGTTTTGATCTCTTGCAATGACGTCCAATGTCAACTTGCATGTTCTTCTTCGCTAGATCCTTCGTTGAAGGGGGTGGTGGCAGCGGCCCTAGGACCACCACGTCCACTCAAAGCCGACCAATAGAAAATGGGATGTTAACATTTTGAAATTTTTGGGTTTTTTGGCAATATCTTGTTAAAAATGTCTTGTTCTTATAAATTGATGGATTCTTATCAAGCTTATGCTTCAGGAAAGAGTATGTGCATAATAATTTTGCTCATATATATCTATGTTTTGGTGACTAGGTTGATGCATAGAAGGTGTTTGATGGAATGACAAAAGGGATATAGTTATTTGGACCACAACGATTAGCGGTTATATCATATTGTTGTTGGTTGATGAGGCAATAAAGGTGGTTGATGAAATGTCCAAGAGAAGTTTGGTTTTGTGGACCGCCATGATCTTAGCCCATCGGTATGCCATCCTACGCCCTCCGGTTGCTCCTCATCATTTTCTATTGTCGCCAACACCTAACGCAATGCACAGCTACCCCTCAATCAGAAACGATTCGTCAATGCATGTACGCTAACTTTCCAATCAAATACATAAGAGAATCCTCCACTATTGGCATTTGATCAGATCTTTAAAATTATTGTCACATTACAACCCAAACGGCAAATCAACTACATCCTGTAATATGATGTACCAAGTAGTATCGAATGTATCGTGTTGTATGGAATTTTCTATATTTTGTATATATAGATGATTTGTGTGTATATTGTATCAAATGCACTATCCAATGTATCATGCTACATCAAATTTTCTATTAGAAATTTATCAGTATATCTAGTAGAAATGTATACAACGTTCCGATAGTGATGATTTTGGATTATTTTCATTCAATCTTTATGGATTATTTTCATTCAATGTTATGTGCTTGAGTTTAGTGGTTGATAGATATGAATATCTGTAATGAATTGATGCACTGATTGAACTGAAGAAGTTTTGATGGCAGCCTATTGGGCCATATTATGTTTCGTGTGTCCAATTATCCACCTCGACGAGGGGTCATCGTTCAATTTTCCAGCTTTTGATAAAGTATAGCACTTTATAAGAAAGTATAACAGCTTATTGATGAAGTATAGCACTTTATGTCAAAGTATAGCACCTTATGGCAATAGTATAGCACCTTATCAATAAAGTATAGCACCTTATGGTCTTTGAAAATTCAGCAACTTATTGCGTTGCAAACCAAATCAGTTTTGTTAGGGCCATGCAAACACTCAATGACCTACGCTATGTGTCGCGTGACCAATTATCCACCTCGACGAGGGGTCCTCGCTCAATTTAGAAGCTTTTGACAAAGTATAGCACTTTATAGGAAAGTATAGCACCTTATGGCCAAAGTATAGCACTATATGGCAAGGTATAGCACTTTATTGGCAAAGTGTAGCACCTTATTGGCAAAGTATGGCACTTTATGCTCTCTGGAAATTCTGCACCTTAAGTTGTCTAAAATCAAATCAGTTTTTTTTACCGCAACACAAACACTCGATGACCTACGTTACGTGTTTATTGATCAATCATCCATCGCGATGAGGGGTCCTCACGCAATTTTGAAGCTTTTGGCAAAGCATAGCACTTTATGAGAAAGTATAGCACCTTATGGCCAAAGTATAGCACTATATGGCAAAGTATAGCACTTTATTGGTAAAGTATAGCACCTTATTGGCAAAATATAGCACCTTATGCTCTCTGGAAATTCTGCACCTTAAGTTGTCTAAAACCAAATCAGTTTTTTTACCGCAACGCAAACACTCGATGACCTACATTACGTGTTTATTGACCAATCATCCACCGCGATGAGGGGTCCTCACGCAATTTTGAAGCTTTTGGCAAAGAATAGCACTTTATGAGAAAGTATAGCACCTTATGATCAGAGTATAGCACTATATGGCAAAGTATAGCACTTTATTGGTAAAGTATAGCACCTTATTGGCAAAGTATAGCACCTTATGCTCTCTGGAAATTCTGCACCTTAAGTTGTCAAAAACCAAATTAGTTTTTTTTCACCGCAACACAAACACTCGAGGACCTACGTTACGTGTTTATTGACCAATCATCCACCCCGATGAGGGTTCCTCACGTAATTTTGAAGCTTTTGGCAAAGAATAGCACTTTATGAGAAAGTATAGCACGAAGCTTTTGGCAAAGAATAGCACTTTATGAGAAAGTATAGCACCTTATGGCCAAAGTATAGCACCATATGGCAAAGTATAGCACCACTTTATGAGAAAGTATAGCACCTTATGGCCAAAGTATAGCACCATATGGCAAAGTATAGCACCTTATTGGCAAAGTATAGCACCTTAAGATACAGAATTTCTAGAGAGCATAAGGTGCTATATTTTGCCAATAAGGTACTATACTTTGCCAATAAAGTGATATACTTTGCCATATAGTGCTACATTTTGGCCATAATATGCTATACTTTCTCATAAAGTGCTATACTTTGCCAAAAGCTTCAAAATTACGTGAGGACCCCTCATCGCGGTAGATGATTGGTCAATAAACACGTAACGTAGGTCATCGAGTGTTTGCGTTGCCGTGAAAAAAACTGATTTGGTTTTAGACAACTTAAAGTGCAGAATTTCCAGAGAGCATAAGGTGCTATACTTTGCCAATAAGATGTTATACTTTGTCAATAAAGTGCTATATTTTGTCATATAGTGGTATACTTTGGCCATAAGGTGCTATACTTATTAGAACCCAGAGGGGGGTTGATTAGGGTCTTATGCTAATCTAATCTGATTAAATGCCAATTAAAATTAATTAATACGTTATCCTAGCAAGTATGAAATACAACAAGATATGTAAACTAGGATAAACAAAATGAACAACAAAGAGATATATCCTATATGATAAGAATATATATGCAAGGATATATAAAACAAGATGATATATCCTATCAAAGAGATATACAATATGATATATGTATAGGATATGTAAACTAACACAAGGGGTAAACAATCTAAACAAGATAGTGGATGATATAGATAATGAGCTAATGACAATGGCGATATAAGATATGAACATAAATATGAATGAACGCCAAAGCACACTCAAACAAGCAATATGATCACGGAGTTCGGACCTTCCGTCCTACGTCTCCGCTCCCCACTCCCGGGGAGAAATCCACTAACACAATCCGGTTTGGAAGCCGGAACTTCTTCTACACACTCGGTTTTCTAGCTAACCGAAAACTCTACAACTCACACTCTTGCAATCACACTCTACACCCACTAAGTGTTGGACCTAGCTGTGTCTCCCTCAAGTGCTCAGTTACAACCTCTCTCTAGGCACGTCAACCGACGTCACTCCTCTTGGGACGATCCCCGACTCTCACAACACACTCCTCTCGGTGTACAAGTGTATTACAAAGTGAATCTCACAATAAGCACAATATAAATCAATTAATTGTTCTCTAAACAAGGTGAGAACTCAATTAAGCACAACTCCTAGTCATAAACCCATAACCCAAAATTATACTATGAATGTAAATACAATAAGCTCAAAAGGTTATGTGTGAACAAAGAGATATAAATCAAAACTAAACTCAATGTAGTTCTAGCTTAATAACAATGATAATCAAATATATAAAAAAGCTAGAAATAGAGTTTAGAAAACTTCTCAATATATCAAGAGTTCTCAAATGCTTAAAAGCTTTTTAAACAAACTTAAACCAAACATAAACCCTTGTTATAACTTTCTTAAACTTGTTTTAAAACTCTCATTAGTTAGCTTGAGAGTTGAAGGCAATGGGGTATTTATACCCTCTCACAACTCAGCCAAAAACCCCAAGCAAAAAGACAGAGACAGCCCCAGCAACAGTAAGAAAACTAGCCGTTGGAAGCTAAAAAAAGCTATCGTCGGTCGACCGAAAATTTCATCGGTCGACCAAAAATTTTATCGGTCGACCGGACTGGTCGACCGACAGACTCTTTGTCGCCCAGTGAGCATATGAACTCAGGTTCGGTCAACCGGTGCGGTCGACCGAAATCTGATACACTCAAAACATGTTTTTAAAGCTATTTTTGAGACTTTTAAAAA